CCGCGACATTATAGTAGGCAGAAAATAAAAAGGTATAACATTGTGATTTCAACTACAGCCGCAGCTTAACTGGGTTCTATGCCGATTTGGGCGCCCCAGATCTATCCCGCTGACGGGTGATTGCTGTGGCAAAGATCGATAGAAATAGCTGAGAGACAGGCGAAACAATGGACCCGCTTGGTATGGTGGTGAACGCGCTACTCCCCGGAAAGGACAATAGCGCGTTCGTTCCCCACCATAGACACCTGCGGTCCAGAGTTTTGCAAATTATTTCTAATGTTACCATAACTGGAATTTAGGGTGATTTTGAGCAGAGCTCACTGTGACTAGATGCAATACTGCATTGTAATCACTGTCAAATGTGCTTAGAAAGTACTAAAAATATTTACTCGCTTGGATACTTGGATGGCCCATCCTCACTTGTTTTGCTGGCCCCAGTATAATCTCATTAACTCGGGTCGGGGTTTTGCTGGTTTAGCTGTTGTGGTTCCCTTCACTCCGGAAGTCTTCCAGGCCGAAGTGTGCCCCAGGCCGTCACCACTACAAGAACTCGCCGCCGTTGTGAATCAGAAGGATTTGTCATCATGCAACTAGTTTAGAATCAGGATGGTGACGGATTCTGTTATTGGTTTACTCTTAGCTTGGCTTTCTGATCGAGACGCCGAACTCCTTCTTAGCTTGGAAGATCCTGCCGGGGGATGAATCCCCTGTTGTATCGCACCCCGACACCGAAGAACATCCTTCCAACCACGATAAGGCGGTAAACCGTTGGAAGAACTGAAAATATTAACGTTTCATCTGCATAAACAATTAAACACCAAAGAGTATTTTTGTGCTTGAAGCTGCGGAGTACGCCTGATTTTTTCGCCGTGCGAGATGAGCACTAAAAATTTCGTTTGAAAAGTGTTTTTGTATATTTTTAAGCGCAGAAAAGGCTTTTCACATATCACAGCTGTGACAGCATTTATGTTTGGTATGTCATCGACTGAATGCAAAAAGATATGCCGAAAGATATTTTTCGCAGCAAAACGAAAAATAGAATTGGTATGAGTTGAAATCAATGCATGTCATCCATTCTGCTCACCTGTATGTATGTTGTTTCTGTCAACGTATGCTGTCATTTGTATGTGGAATGGTAGTTCTCTAAGATATTGTTCCTTTGCTTCAGAATCTCGCAGCGTCGATGCAGATGCGTGCCGTGTTTGTGGAGACGGGAACGCGAAAACGCACTACGGTGTCGTCACATGCTTCGGTTGTAAAGGATTTTTTCGAAGAACGTACGTACTCTTAACAGATAAGCTTCCTTAACTAACTGTAACGCTTGACATTGAATTCTAGTCCTTTCTTATCTATCTCCTTATCCTTATCTTTGAATAAGCACTCAACCATGTTCTCATTTCGGTAAATTCAGAACGATTTACAATGTAAAAAAAATTATTAAATATCGAACTTTCTCTAAATAACCGGTGTTGGAGCCATTGCGCTAGTAAAGAAAATGAATTATTTGGTTTGATTTTTCTACGAGCCAGCCAGTTCGTACATTAGTTCTGGAAGATCGGATTTCTGACAATAGAACATTTCCCAACTATTAAACTGAATGCATTGAGTAAAACTGCTCCACAATTTAGCACCTTGTTCGGAACACTTCTCCTTGTGAAGTGGGTTATACTCACTGACTAAACAAATGAGATGATTAGAAGGTTGTTAATATGTGACTTAAGTTAAAGAAGCTTTACTTGTTTCCTTGTGTTTGCCCATAAGATTGTTATACTCGCAAGACTAAGACCATCGGAAAATGATGCGCTCCTCAGTTGCAGATAATCCAGATCATAAAGCAAAGTGCAATTCTCCCCTTTACTATGTCACCGTTATGAAGTCCTGTCTCGCTACGATTTTCTTCCAGGAATCATCTCATCTGACCGTATAGCAATTTCTGTCCGCTTAAATCTACAGGCTACTTCTTATCCATCTGCGAACGCATTTAACAATTTCATACCTAAGATTAGACACTACTGAAGAACATTAACTACTATATAACATTGCTTTAGGCTCAAACGGCCGTCTGAGTACCACTGTCGTCACAATGGTACCTGTATTGTCGATCGTCATGAGCGAAATTCATGTCGTTATTGCCGATTTAAGAAATGCATCGAAGTTGGTATGGATCCCAAAGGTTAATAAAGTTGAATAAGGGTTTTTTCTTCATGTATATATATACACATACATACATACAGAGAGAGAGACATGTATTCATATATGTATGTGTGTATATATCTGTTTGCCGACTCAGGAGGGATGGAAGGCTTGGTGAGGTCGGAGTGCGAAATCGAGACAGCGATCGATCCATTTATGAGCGTCATTCTCATCTTATTTTCTCATAATCAGTTTGTTATTATTAACTAGCAGTACTGTGCATCTACAATTTTTTACAGCTGTACGTCCCGATCGTGATGCTACTGGGCGACACTACCAGGGTCGACAAAGACGTTCTAAGCTCAACACTGACTACGAAGCAGAGCTGGACGCCGAGTGGATTCGCAAGCTCCCTGTCGACATGCGAACGACGCTCATGCAAATTATGAACATCGATTTAATGGTTAGCTAGTAATCAATGATCGATCACTTATATTTCGGATGTCATAGTTTTGAGCTCGGTGTCGTCTAACACCTAGAGACTGACGTGAGCGAATTTCCACCCATATATGAAGGATTAGTAGGAGCAATTCGACCAGCGTGATTAGGTGCTCAATAATTTGCTTCACAGGTGTTTATTTTGATAGCGACATAAGATTGTGAGATGCAATATGTGTGTTGAGGACAAGGAGCAATAGTGGTTGATATCATTATTTGAAGGGCATTGCATAACTATAAAGAGTTTATTTTAATATTTATTTTATNATGGTTAGCTAGTAATCAATGATCGATCACTTATATTTCGGATGTCATAGTTTTGAGCTCGGTGTCGTCTAACACCTAGAGACTGCTAGAGACTGACGTGAGCGAATTTCCACCCATATATGAAGGATTAGTAGGATCAATTCGACCAGCGTGATTAGGTGCTCAATGATTTGCTTCACAGGTGTTTATTTTGATAGCGACATAAGATTGTGAGATGCAATATGTGTGTTGAGGACAAGGAGCAATAGTGGTTGATATCATTATTTGAAGGGCATTGCATAACTATAACGAGTTTATTTTAATATTTATTTTATTAATATTAAGAAGACGATTTGTGGTGAAAATCTTATAGTTGTTACCCGTCATTCATTAGTACCAATATATTAGCACCAATTCATTGATCACATTTGTCATCTCTCGTTCCACTGATCGAGAAACTCGAGCCGGCACCAGAAAACCTATTTCCCTCCGTTGCGTGCAAGAGTAACCCACTATGTTCTGCTCGCTCTAGAGACTCGTTGAACATAATATCTTTCTTCTAGGGTTTTCAATAAGAACTCTAGTCATCGTGTTGGTGGTCTTCCTAGAGTACGCTTGACATTCACAGCAATGCAGTCACTAACGGCTCTTGTCCATTGGTTGTCGTTCATACGCATTCTTTGATTTTCGATCGTTAACGCAGGTCGGAGCTTCGTATTCCTTCCCCCAAACTGTGTGATACGGGATAATTCTAGCATCGCCCTTTCGAGTGCGCATTCTATAACGCTAAGTGTTCTTATATAGCGACCAGGTTCCTGCCGAATGCGTTAAGGCAGGAGGAATCGATAAGTTGGGAACGAAGCTGGGTGTTCTTTGTTTGTCCCAATAAATCATCGATGCCTTTGAAAGCCTGCGTAATGATTGGTGTTATAAGAACGTTGTCATCAGCGAAACGAAAATGATGTAATTGCAGACCATCGATTTTCACTCTTTTGTTGTCCCATTCCAATGTTCTCATGTTTTCCCGGGTGGCGAAAAATAATTTTGGTGGGATGGTATTCCCTTGTCTAACTCCTCTTTTGACGTCGGCGTTAATGCGTCGTTTTCTCGTTCAGCAATCGCGAGGTCGTTCTACTATACAGCATACATCTACTTCCATAGAAAAACACAATACAATACAACAGTAGCTGACCTGTCGGCAGTATCGCCTTCTTCAGAGCCTGGAAGGGTGTACTAATANTTCGTGCCTTCCAATGAGGAAGATTAGAACAGTTGATTATAGTCGCATATGGTGATGACTGCACCACACCACATCAGAAATTGATGCGAACATACGGGCCAGGTCGCGTGTGACCTCCGTAGGTGTTAGTGTCGTTGTACAATGATGATATATTGGCTGCGAAGTCTTTATATATCTCTCAAATAAGCTTTCCATACTGAGTATTGACCCATGAGNGGTGTTCTTTGTTTGTCCCAATAAATCATCGATGCCTTTGAAAGCCTGCGTAATGATTGGTGTTATAAGAACGTTGTCATCAGCGAAACGAAAATGATGTAATTGCAGACCATCGATTTTCACTCTTTTGTTGTCCCATTCCAATGTTCTCACGTTTTCCCGGGTGGCGAAAAATAATTTTGGTGGGATGGTATTCCCTTGTCTAACTCCTCTTTTAACGTCGGTGTTAATGCGTCGTTTTCTCGTTCAGCAATCGCGAGGTCGTTCTACTATACAGCATACATCTACTTCCATAGAAAAACACAATACAATACAACAGTAGCTGACCTGTCGGCAGTATCGCCTTCTTCAGAGCCTGGAAGGGTGTACTAATACAGAATTTACTAGGCCAAACGCTTCAATAACACTTACAAAAAGACGAAAAAACTCTATGGTAATCACATGATCAACAGCTTCTCAAAAAACTCACCGCTTTCTTCGTGCCTTCCAATGAGGAAGATTAGAACAGTTGATTATAGTCCCATATGGTGATGACTGCACCACACCACATCAGAAATTGATGCGAACATACGGGCCAGGTCGCGTGTGACCTCTGTAGGTGTTAGTGTCGTTGTACAATGGTGATATATTGGCTGCGAAGTCTTTATATATCTCTCAAATAAGCTTTCCATACTGAGTATTGACCCATGAGTGTCTGGGCTTCCATGACTGCTTCTATCTCAGCTAAGTCAAAAACTTCTTCAAATCAATTAAAATGAAGCGGAATGATGTTTGGTACTCTCGCTATTTCTAAAAGAGTTTTATTATCGTGTGGACGTGATCCATCGTTCTGAGTCCTTTTCGAAACCCTGCTTCGTTGCATGGTTGTCCTTTGTCCAGTGTTCTGTCAATCCTGTTTAGGATGACTCGAGTGAAGAGTTTATAAACGACAGACAGCAAATATATTGAGCGTTAGTTCGATATCGTGGGAGTCACTCTTCTTGAACAATTACACACTGTTCGTGGTCTTCCGCTGAATAGGAACTTTGAATTCTGTTAGGGAACGTGTGAACGGCCAAGCCATTCTGATGACGAGGAGTGACTGGAAATTGCTCAGGTGTTCAGAAGTTATTCTGCCCTGGCCAGTTGCTGTTGAATTCTACATTTAGAAATAGCATGTCGGATTTCGGAATGAAAAACCGGTGGAGCGTCATATCCGTCTTCTTTATTTCGTATGAGGGCAGAATGGCGTGGCTACTGAAGAGACCAAGTAGTAATCGTGAATAGTTTTCTCCAATGCGATTTTCGAATCTCTAACTGTTCCGTTTGGGCGTCGGAGTTCAATGGTGCAGAGGTTTTCTTTGTTTTGTAAGTGGCGAAATTTCGGTGCGTTTGGTCAACACTCTCCCCACCCTCGGCAGCTTCGACCATAACTGCTGCTTTTCTCTCTTCAAGATCTTCATTTATTACCTATCTGTACTTGTTTTGGAAATTAGGACGTGAATTTGCGGTTGCCTATAGCTGGTGTGTTTCCATGTTTGCGTATCTACTCTAGTGTTTGTGGAGACAAACGTCTCTTGGTGACTTTCGAACTTAAGTTTAATAGCGTTAGCGAGAAAATGTTCAAAGAGCCTATTGTATTCCTCATCGATGGTGTCAATAACGGCATGTTCACAAAAGCCAACTAATAATTTGAATAAGTCCCAGTTTATGGTGGTTTTGAGACTTCGTATTTTGAATTTAGCAGCTTTTTCTTTTTTCTGCTGGAAATGAATCTTGTCCGAAGGAGACGATGGTCTGATCCCGTGTGGAATTTTGGAACAACAGCGACATCGGTTAGGCGAAACCTTCTGTTTACTATGATGTGGTCTATTTCGTTATGGTACTCTTCCATTGGGAGACCCCCACGTCCAGCGTTGGGGGTCGGACTTCTGGAATTGCGAGTTAGCATGGATGGTCTTGGTCGTCATGATAAACTCAGATCGCCACTCATCCCGCTCGTTCCATTTTAATCTATGGGTCCCAATGTGGCGTTCTTCAGATGTTCTTCTGGGTTTTAGTGTTGGAATTTTTTGTTCCATTGACGTTGGTTAATATGGCACACAAAGCTGTGTCAGGACGCAGACCGAAATCATATTAAAAGCAAGATCGGAAGGAATAACACCTTGTTGTGAAGGTGTGGTTTATCGATAAAAAAAACCTAACCATTCTACACCTGGTTGTTCCGGTTAGGGTTTTTTTTTAATTTCGTACACATTTGTGCTCTGACAAAATATCAATTATTTATTTTCTCTTCAAACACTGTGGTGTATTTTCACAAAGCTACTTTTTAGAAGTGGCAATAATGCCAGATGAGTTCATATTACGGTGGGATTAACTAGTCTGCTAACATGCTTGCGACTGTATGAATTGGTTTAAATGCGCAAGTGGCTGAATGTGTTTCAGCGTTTCAACTTTGAACAGCTACATTTCAAGTCGTAATGAACTTTGTTGAGTGAAATAAAAGCCATTTGGATGACTATTTATTGTAGAAATTTCATTTATAGCGATTGAAGGCACTTCCATTTTCTTCACAAATCTTGCCGTTTTAGGCGGGAAGTGGTGATGGCAATATAGATGGTACGATGTTATATCCGCTTAACATCATCTCTATACGACAGTTATTGGAAGATCCATCTGTACTTGATGGAAAACGTACAGAAGTATGTTAGAAGCACTTAAATAACTGTATACATGAGTAAATGACGAAGTGGGAAGGAAAGCTTATAGTTTTATTTTTTAGCAGTCAGCTTAAAGGTAATGGAATACAATCGCGGACCAGAAGTCAAGCGAAAGGGTTCTATTTCAGTCATGTGACTCTATCCAACACGAATCTTAAAGAAACTCCATCTTCCAACAAAATCCTTAATTTAAAAAATTTGATGTGGTAAAAAGTGTAGGGCGTCCGATGTTCATGAATCCCTTATACGCCATGCATTCAACTCCACGTAAAGCATCCCTGAACTGACAAAATTCACGCTTGACCTATACAATGGTTTTTGACACTATCGATGAATCAAGTCAGTAATTTCCAAGACCGACTTTTTACTAACCTCGACGTTGATCAATAAGCCGCTGTTTTCTTGCTAAGCAGAGACAACGTTGTTATCATACCATTTATTAATTGTAGCTGATGTTTCGGAGTATTTCGCTTCCTTCAGATTCTTGAAAGGTGAGGTTAATTGCAATCCAGTCAGCCAGATACCTCCATAACCTCAACTGAAGGACCACGAAGTCAGACATCAATTGCATCTGAAGCAAAATAGCTTCTTCACACACCATTTTTTATGAGCCTGAGGACCACTAAATTAATCCACGTAGAGACCAACCGCACAGTGTTCACATGGAAGCGTAATATGCCCGTTACATAAGAATATCTGTCTTAAATACCATGTGGGATCATGCGTGATTATAAGGTATTACTCTCTGCGATCCATCTCCGCGTTCTTGAAAATTATCCAGAATGCTTCGAGAGTTTTGCGCCAGTGTTTCCGATTCCTGTGCGAGGATGATAATTCCCAGTGCAAAGTCTTCCTCGTTATGTCTCTGTATTTCTTGCGCACCTAGTGGAGTGTTTGGTTTAACCTTCCAATGTATTCTTCTCTACATGCTTTACAAATTAGGTACACCGTACCCGAACTGATGCACTCGCCATCTTTACCGTCAGAGTAAAATATGCAATCTCGTATTGTACACGAGCAGTCATGCTAGCTGCTACGAACTAGATGGCGTCATAGAATGTTCGGTGAAATTTCGATCACTGTTATCGATTTCTGTTGACCGGTCCTTTCCAAATAATGTTGTGCAGCACATAAAGGGGAAGATTACAAAATAAAAATCGCCATTTTTGTGCAGGACTCTGAAGCTTCAGCGTGATAAACCCTCGAGGTGTTTGGATAAATCCTAAGAATCAAGAAATGAACTGTAGGAAGGAATGCCTCACTATCACGCGAGATCTCACATATTGTCTCAGGCTAACATTTTAAAGAGAATGTGGATTATTGCCGATTCATGTGAGCTTTGCACGGCTGGTCTCTATGTGGAATACTCAGTGGAAGACTCACAGAGAGCAGTGAGTGTGTGAAGAAGCTGTTTTGTATCCAGTGCAGTTGAAGACTAGGTATCGTGCTTTTTCCGTCAAGGTTATGGAGGTGTTCGGCTGAATGGTTTGTAGTGAACTTAATGTTCTCAGGAACCGAAGAAGGCGAAGTCCACTGAAATAGCAGCTGTTACTAATAAGTAGTGTAAAAAGAACCTGATATGTCCTTATTACGAAAATATCAACTTCTTAATCAAATCAGTCTTTTTACTCTCCCAGACAAGCCTGATACCGAGCTCCTGATNGATCACTGTTATCGATTTCTGTTGACCGGTCCTTTCCAAATAATGTTGTGCAGCACATAAAGGGGAAGATTACAAAATAAAAATCGCCATTTTTGTACAGGACTCTGAAGCTTCAGCGTGATAAACCCTCGAGGTGTTTGGATAAATCCTAAGAATCAAGAAATGAACTGCAGGAAGGAATGCCTCACTATCACGCGAGATCTCACATATTGTCTCAGGCTAACATTTTAAAGAGAATGTGGATTATTGCCGATTCATGTGAGCTTTGCACGGCTGGTCTCTATGTGGAATACTCAGTGGAAGACTCACAGAGAGCAGTGAGTGTGTGAAGAAGCTGTTTTGTATCCAGTGCAGTTGAAGACTAGGTATCGTGCTTTTTCCGTCAAGGTTATGGAGGTGTTCGGCTGAATGGTTTGTAGTGAACTTAATGTTCTCAGGAACCGAAGAAGGCGAAGTCCACTGAAATGGCAGCTGTTACTAATAAGTAGTGTAAAAAGAACCTGATATGTCCTTATTATGAAAATATCAACTTCTTAATCAAATCAGTCTTTTTACTCTCCCAGACAAGCCTGATACCGAGCTCCTGATCCGAGAGGGGAGCCAGGCTTAGTTAGCGCGGGCGCAAGTTCCGACCAATCTTGTATGTGTGACAAGCGACCTCTAACCACTGCGCAATTCCGGCAACATGAAATATTCAACGTTACCTGGCGATATCCAGCTCGGCGAATCGGAAAATTTATAACACCGTTTTGTTCCGTAACTGGCAAATCTTTTCTACCAAAGAAGTAACGAATGAAAGGAATTTGTCAGTGATTATTTACTTATTAATTATTATTACTATAATTATCATTGTTATTACTATTATTGTCCTTTATGGTAACGACTGTACAATATTTGATCTTCAGATGCGATATGATTCCTATCGAGAGATCGAAGCCAGTGAACTGCCAGTTGTAGCGCATCGAAATCTCCTTTCAGCGATTGATTGGGTCGATCATCTGTTCGATATTATCGATATTCAGAATCTTGACGATAAGGTATTCGACAGAAAGGATATTTATTCGCTTACTTTATCGTATGACTAAATTCTACATATTATGCTGGTCCAGACACTTTTTTCATTCCGTTCGTTACACTACCACACAGTGAAAATCTTTTCACTGCTTGTAATAATCTTAGAAGATTGATAAATAATGCAGTAAAGTCGGCTTGTTATACAAATTTATTCGTCTCTTTAAAGTAATACTAAGCTTTGATAATATATTTATAAGTCTACCGTAGCCCTACCGTATCCATTGATTCAAAAACCTCAGCTATTTCGATTTTTCTGAGACCGACTTTCCATTAACATTAGCATTGTTCAATAAGTCAGTGTTTTATACTTGAGGAAACATGAAGTTGCCAAAATTTATGTGTTGCGTTTTTTCTGCTTGAGTTATTAAAGTGTTTGGTCTAGTAGGATGCAATTCAATATGACCTTTCCCGTCTCTCAAAAAGGCAAGACCTCCGAAACGTCGGCCAGCACTTAGTAGATCTTTTTATTAACAACCTGGCATCGGCTCATTAAAAAAGTGAATTGTTCCGTTTTTTTTTCGATTGCCTGAATGTATTAAATATTAAGTGCTATTTAGCCGTCTTTAACGAGACCGCTTCGCAAATCGATTATGAGTTTCGCAACTAGTCGTTTACGATTAACAGTGGACATAATTTGATACATTATAGATATAACTTTCCACTTGAAAACAAGCAACTTAGAAAACGTAGTGACGTGAGAAATGTGGGAGAACTTAATGTGCTGACCACTATAGCCTATTACTCGAAAAATTGTAGGAAAAGGTCTCTAGAGTTCCCTAGAGGTTAGAGTTTTAGCATGTATAGAACTTAGTAAGAATATGCATTGGTCATACTTGTGGTCATGTACGACGGTATGTATTGAAATCAGTGCATAAAACAAGCACTGTACGTCCGCGTAGACGTCTTCTAACGAGGCAGTTTTCGGTTGTTAGGCTCTGACCGCGATAAATTTGAAAGCGTTTTCTTTGCTACTACTATTAATACTAGTACTTAACTTTGATAAAATATTTATAACGCTATGTCAACAGTTTTTATTTACTCTCTGCTATTTTTTAATGGCATGGTACTATGTGAAATACAACAATAATGTTGCCATGATATTTGCAAAACCGCGGACCGCCGGTGTCTGCGGTGGAGACCAAACACGACATTACTCTTTACGGGGGCTAAGGTGTTCACTACCCAACCGTGCAAGTCCTTCGTTTCGCCTGTCTCTCGGCCATGTTGATTGGTGATTGCTGATATAGGTTAATAACATGGATGAGAGACTGGTGAAACGAAGGATCCGCATGGTGTGATGGTGAACGCGTTAGCTCCCGGGTAATAGCGTTTTTGCTCCACTCCACAGACAACAGCGGTTAGGGGTTTTGCAAATATCTCAGCAACATTATGATTATATTTATAACACTGCGGTAGCTCTACCGTATCTATTGATCACGTAGAATTCGTCGATGAAGGAGTTTTCAGTGACTAAGCTTTGACCACGTTCAATCTAGAATTGTTTTTCTTTTCTTTCGTGCGAAGGAGATATTCCACTTCTTCTAACGATTTTTTAGGTGGCAANAGACTGGTGAAACGAAGGATCCGCATGGAGTGATGGTGAACGCGTTAGCTCCCGGGTAATAGCGTTTTTGCTCCACTCCGCAGATAACAGCGGTTAGGGGTTTTGCAAATATCTCAGCAACATTATGATTATAATGTTTAACGTTTTGTTTTCTGCCTTCTATAATTTTCATGGCAGGTTACTAAGCGAAATACAACCACAACGTTGCTGAGATATTTGCAAAACTCTGGACCGCAGGTGTCTATGGTGGGGAACGAACGCGCTATTATCCTTTCCGGGGAGTAACGCGTTCACCACCACACCATGCGGGTCCTTTGTTTCGCACGTCTCTCAGCTGATTATGATTATATTTATAACACTGCGGTAGCTCTACCGTATCTATTGATCACGTAGAATTCGTCGATGAAGCAGTTTTCAGTGACAAAGCTTTGACCACGTTCAATGTAGAATTGTTTTTCTTTTCTTTCGTGCGAAGGAGATATTCCACTTCTTCTAACGATTTTTTAGGTGGCAACTGTGAAGCATTGCTTCACTCCATTGATGGTGTTCAACTTCAGTGTGGTAACAGCAAAAAACACAAAGCAACCGGATATCGTTTGTGTCTGCAATTCTGGTCATTTGAAACAGGATATTTGTATGCGATGGAATGAACCATAGTAGGTAATTAAAACAACGAATATATCGGGCTACACTACAATCATTGCGAAAAACCTAATCAACACTTACGCGACGACGTAACCTCTACAGGTTCATGAATTGCAAGCCGAATGACCGCTCAATTTAAATGAACATATCTTAGAACATAGTGGATTTTATTTATTACAACGGAAAGCATTAAGAGGCGGATAGCACAATGGTAGTGGTGTCATCACGAGCACGGTGCTAATTCGATTCCGCTCTGGGCCAACCAAGCCCTCCCGGTGGGGAAATTTTTACCGGACTTCTCTGGGAAAAAATCACTCTCTGCAATCCAACTAGGAACGCTCCAGTGAAGCTGTCTCAGGAGTCCATGGAGAATTGCTCCACCAGCATTCTACAACATTCAAGGTGAAATAAAAATCCTCAAGCAGCAACCGAAGCCACATGTAAAAACTTGGGAAATCTTCGTGCACGATGGATGCAA